TTTCCTTCCTAGTGGTGGCAAGCTTGGTTCAGATATTCTGAATTGTCCCTGTTTCTGCAGCTCCACAATGGACTGGTTTCTCCTGCAGATTAAGTGCATCAGGGTAAGCTGGCTTCTGGTAAAGCTCATCTGAGACGGCAATAAGACTCCCATTCCACTATGGTTTGAACCATTTCACATTTTTTCAGCTACGGGCTTTTCTTTTCACTGGATAAGCGAGGTGCTTATCCACTGGAGCTTAATAATTAATGGTTGTCATGCTTTTTGGGGAAGATTCACACAGCTCTATGAATTACAATTCAATTATAATTTTGTCTGTCATTCAAAAATTAGTCCAAATATTTTACACGCAATTGCCACTAATAGCCAGTCACGCCTGTCTCTTATCAAAAGCTGTTGCAGATGAGAGTTATCTAAGCCTTGAAACACACTCATTGCACTTGCGCTGATCCAGTAGTTATCATAACCAAAGAAAAAACAAATCATCAAACAAAAAGTCATCATTGCTGTCTCTACAATCAGTGACAGACGGATTAAAAATCAGCCATGTCATTTAAACCACACACCAGCACACATTCAGACTAAGGAGGCAGCCATGTGGGCTACTTCATGATTTTTTACACAGCCACAATGAATTGATTTTCTTAGAATGCCTAGCCGCATTCCACGCAATACCAAAATAATTGTTTTTAACTGACTGGACTTAACATTTACCCATTTAGTTAAGCAGAGGGATTTTTGATAACCAAAGAGTTTTTTGATTATTATTTTTTTTATTTTTGAGAGATTGTTTATCCCCTTCCTTTCTTTTTTTAGGTGTCTTTTTGTCCCTGTTCTAAGACAATGGATAATTCACTGATGGACAAATAATGGAACTGTTAGACGGAGTTCCATTATTGGCACGATTTGGCCGTGGGATTGAGGCAGGACATTGGGGCTGCCAAATATGGAAAGTATTACCAACTGAGAATGGAAATAAGAGATGAAGTATACAAATTGAAGCTAATAAAAAGAGTCTGATGTAATTTGCTTTTTCATTTACCGGCCCTCTGAGGGCACTGGTCCAACCAACATTTGCTCAAACTGCCTGATCCCCATGATTAACTTTTTTTTCTTCACTGCATGTTTTCGGGATTCCGATACAAAAACACAAGCCTGTCAAACAGCTTGTTCATGGGTGTGCCTGAAATTCATTCCTTTGGCTTTATATGGTGGGCATCAGCTTATGATGGTTAAATTAAGAGTGAATACACAAACAAAAAATTTAAAAAATACCACCAAGCAAGAAAACAAAATTCTATGTACATTTTACAAAAATCTGGTATAATATTTGTCACTTTCTCCTTGGTGCTCATTCTGCTTCTGCAGTAAATTTCAAGTGATGGTGATTCTTAATACATGGTGTGGTTCACCAGCAATCTTCAGAACTGAATGTTCTTGTTAAGGCTTCCAGACATTAACTCTTAAAGTATATAGATTTCCTACGCAGATTAGCAGTTAGTTCCTATAATGCTGAGACTTATGATGGTTCAGTAACTTTAAACCAGTGAGGGATCAAGAAACTCCCTATGTGAATGTATTTAAAAAAAACATAGTTCAGATATCAATTCCCAGCTACTTAAAGGGGAACTACAATGCGATTTTTACATTTCAGGGTTAAGTAAACTGTACACAGTAATGTGTAAAACCTTCCATTTACATCACAAAATAGATTGAATTTCTACGTTCAGCCATTCAGAACGAGGCATCAGAACTTCCAGTGAGATGAAGCGTCCCCTTTACACTGTAAACAAGCAGGCTTGTGAATACATCTCTTTTAATCTGACACAAATATTGTTGTTGCTTTGAGAGGGTTTTGCTGACAAATACTACTTACTTGTTAGCAAATCGCATTGGAACATTTCTGCCACAAACCTGTATTTATTTGCTCGCACATTACATTAGGAATTACAGTGACTAGAGAGCAGGAAGGGCTGCTTCACATCGCAATTCCTGCAAATTTGTCCTTAACAACACCAGGGGTTTTTGACAACATGGAGACTGCCCAATACTTTCACAAAGTTCACAATTTTGTGCTTAATTTGGATTTTTTTTAAAAATTGTGATACCTTAAAATAATTTATTTTGTTAACGAGATTTATTAACCGGTCTGAGAAATTGGGACTGCAGTTCCCCATTAACATTACCATTTTTGTAATAATATTACTCCAAGACATAGTCAATTTGTCTGCTAATATAAAATAATGTAAATAATAATATTTTTTATATAGTGCCTTTAAAAGTAGTTTTTATAGACAAATTATACTTTTTATTTTTGTTACCACCCACACCAGGGGTATAAATGGGCATTAGATTTTAACAATAATAATCTACTAACACATACACATGCACTAATAATTTTAAGTGCAACTCACTGCAAATGCTTAAACTGTAGAGAGAACACTATACTAGTTCCACACAATCTTATCTATGCATACACAAATGGATACATACGATATGTATTAACACTTTTAGAAATTTTGTATAGAACATTCTAATAATTTATAAAAAATTTCACAAATTTATAGCATTTTCAGCCTTAGATGTAGAAGCCACATAAAAATGCAGCCCCACGACCCCAAAATTTAATCAGATGTAATACACAAGCCTTTCCTTCTAATGTGCGTGTAATATATCAGAAATGCCTATTTGTTTTTGGTCACATCAAATACTTTTTAAGAAAAAAAACAATTGTCTGCATATAGAAATTGTTGTGTTTAAGTTAGTGTGATACTGCCATCATCTGTTAACATACAAAATAACCTCTGGTTCTTAAATAGTACGTTCACCTGGGTCTCTCATGTAATTAGCCCTATAATGCAAATGGCCATTATATGAAAGGGGCAAAAAATTACTAAAGACATACTGTAAGCATCCCAATTACATATTTTTAGTTAGTTTTTTTCTGCTTTCATATAATGTCCACTTACATTATAGGGCTAATTACATGAGACACAGAGCTTCAAAAAGCCACCTATGAAAAAGACTGGAGTGTTGTATCCTGTTACTCTCCTAGATAATGCATGGAAACAAAAAGGAATCAACATTGTTATCAACAGGGAACCACCAACCAGGGGCTACCAATGCCAACTCTGGGGAAGTATACTGAAGGAGACAAGTTTTTTCTTTACATAGAGGGTGATGGGAGTATGGAACAAGCTATTCAGCCATGTTGCTGAAGCTGATACTCTGGCTACTTTGAAAAAAATGGCACAATGAGATCCTCAGATCAATGAATTACCGCCAATCGAACACGATACAGGCCAAATGGCCTCCACTCATACGTTTCTGTTCTTTTGCTCTGATGAAGAAGTCATGATGTTCTATTTTTTCGAATTATTACAACTGTTATTGGTAGCAGCATTAGAGTTCTTTAACCGTTTAATCATTAAAAGATATTTCAACATGACTTATTGTATGTACTTTCTTTCACTACAGCAAAAAAAAACATTGATTACAATTAAACAACTCAGTTTGAGTACAAAGACCAGTACCTGGGATGGGTACATAAAAGAAATACTACATAATGCAAATAAAAGATAGGCTTTTATGCAACTGCATGACTTTTATCACATAAATATGATATGAAATTAAAATAACATGAAAATTGCCATTTCCAGGATCTTCCCCAAAAATAAACTTCATGAAATATGGACGATAACACATTGTACCATAATAGTCCATTCCTGCATGACGTTCAGCCTGCTCCTAACAGCTGAGCAAGAGTTAAGCATTACAGTCACCTGAGAGAAATACCCACAAGAATTAAACTTGACTCCAAAGTGTCTCCTGCTCATCTTCTAGGATAAACCATGTGTCCCAATCCACAGAATCCACTCCTATACGAGTTTATCGGCCTTCTGGGGAATAGGAGGGGAGTGCCACTCATCTCAGTGTTTCTCTGCTGGTCAGGAGGTCACCTTTCATTCACACACCCAGGTAATACCAGCAAACAATCATTCAATGATACTGTGAATTTTAGCATTTACCTTTTAAGTGTACAAGATAACAACTATTTGTCTTTGCTAACATGCCTTTTTTTACCTAGCAACAGTATGAAAGAAGAATTAAAGGCACATTATTTGATGTTTTGACGCTAATGCTATAACCACAGAATGTTTACCTAAATTTCACACCTTCTATTTACATACTTCCTTTTCACAAAAGGAAAGGTGAATTTTGTAAAGGCGTATTTGTATGAAATCTGTATGAAAAACAAATCATGTTATCCTCTTTTTGTGGTCTGTATGACTGTATCCTCTCGATGCGAATGAATAAAGGATTCTGCTGAACCACACCTAACGTGAGTGAAGAGTTTTCTTAGACAATTATTAATATACAAAGCTTCAGATTTTTTTATTTTAGATGGCACACAATGCTCAAACGATAGAACCAGACATGAAGTTATAAGGGAATATGAAGAGGCATTTAAAAACAAAGTGAATTCACCAAGTTCCAGTAATGATTAACTAGTATGAGTCTCTTTACGCTCTGCTTGGTTCTTTCCACACTACACTACTGCATGTGCAATTTCCTAGAAGGAGAAAAGTTGGAGTCCCTGCAAATTAATTTTTAAGACAGTGAGAATAATTAAAAGGCATCAAAGGCTGCACACTGAACAAAGCAAAACACAGGCAAGAAAGAAACACTGCCCTTCCTTAAACAGTATGACAGTAACAGTAACAAATATTAGCACAACAATTCTGTTCTGTGTGTACAGTTAAATATACGGTTTAAATAGTAATCTTTGTCAAATTAACTACACAATACTTTTTCCAGTGGCCCTAATTAGTCTTATATTCTTTACTTAACATCTGTACATGCAACAGATTTATGAAGGATTTTGAAATGAAAAGTTAGGTAAATTTCCCATATAATATAATTATATATATATATAACTCCCATATAATGCCCTAATACGGCATCCCACCGATGATTTATAGTTTATACAGTACATTTACCTGCATCCTTTCTGCATTCTCTGTTTCTTCTTGTGCTTCCCCTGACGATGGTTCGGTATCCTTTCGCAGGCTGGGAAGCCACAAGGCAACACTTCTCATTAGGAACTCCTTCCCCTCCTGCAAAAACACACCACCATTTCAACTCTCCTGTTGTCAGCTTGCTGCTTCTCAATATTCTTGCACCATTAAAACCTTCGTTTAGTCATGACAAAATTACAGATCTTCAGGCAATCTAAAAAATGTTCCCAAAGAACCTCCTCCACCATTCTCGCGTAGTGTTTTAGGCTAAATGACATGGGTAGGATAAGGGTTGGAGATGGGGTTATGGTTAAGGTTAGGATCAGGGCTGTGTTGGCATGAAAATGTCTGTACCTCTTTATGCATTTTGGAGAAATGGCCGTGGGGGATTATGGATGTTGCAGCGATACAACAATGTTATGTAGCCTCTTAAAGGGCATTGTGATGGTATTATGCTGGCAATATGAAGCTCATCACAAATCTTCTGAGAGAGACGGTCATACGTACTGAGGTTCTATTCGAAACAGACTAATTTCTCGAATTCAAAAGTTATTATTACTATTCTTAAATATTATAATAAATAATAGTTTTAAAAAGAAATGCCTTGTAATGGAAAAAAATGGTTTTTGGTTAAAGCTGAAATTCGCAGCTTTTGTGAATATATTTTCTCTGTTAGCTTTAGAAACAAAACACTGAAGAGGAAGCTCTATGGATAACAAAATTAGAGATTAAAAATATGAATACATTTCTAAATGGCTGTTAAAGGTCCAATTAGTGGCACTGTATGTGGTATTGACAGAGCTCCAGTAGATAAATCAAAGATAAGGATACAATTATTGAGAGTTTACATGACTTTAAAGAAAGGCTGTATCCCATGATCATATTCATTAACAAAAACTGTACTTTATGAAGACAAAAAAAACATGTTCTCACATAGAAAAAAAACATTTGTTATTAGTACGATGTTCTGTTACTATGCTTCCTAATCAAAAAATGTAAATAGCTAAAGCAAAAATCAAGGAAGTACTGGTGTGATGGCAAAAAGAGCCTACAGTATGTACTGAAAGACAAACCTCACACATCCTACTTTCACCTGCAAACTTCATAGACGAACACACTAATGATAATAATATTCTATCACTGCAATAATAAGCAGGAACTATTCAGAAGATCGCAAGTTACTCTTGGTGGGTCACAGTTTCACATAAACAAGACCTTTACTTTTAAATATATTGCTCTGTAAACGATCAGCAGGGTGAAATGTCACAGCCACCCCATTGTAAATTCGAACCAAACACTGTGCAAGGCATCCTGAAATCTCAATCCTGTTAATGCACTGCTGCGTGGGTGAGAGGCCCAAAGAGGTCATGGACTAAAGACAGTGCCGAGGCACATATTTGACTTTACAAATCAACTATTTACGCACTAATTTATGACAGTGTTCAGGAGAGGACTTCCAGGTACACTTCAGATATTGAAATAATAAAAATACATTCTTAGGTTGACCAGAAACAGAAAAATAAACAGCTCTGTTACAATAAATGGCAAATTTATATAGCTTCAAAGGATAAAACATTGTGTTATTAAACTAGTCTGCCATCTAGTGGTAGTAGATGTCACTGGAGAAAAACAAGGGTGACTTTTTTTCTGATTGTTGTATTAAAAACAGCTCTGCAAAAATCACTTACTTGACCTCTGGCTCAATATCCATATACTTTGATTTAGAGTTTAAAAAAAAGTACAAAGGTAGCTCTGTGACGAGCATGTTTTAAATGCAGGAAGATGAAAGAGAATTTCATTTAGCATTAACTGGATGTTTAACCTGACTGCCTAAGCAATAATGTTACTGCCAGGTTAATCTTAATCTCTACATTCAAATTACCCTGTCGATTCCAGACAACCAGGTGGCAAACATTACCCCATGAAAGTACAAGCAGTGGAAGAAGCAGCCTCAAATTTACTGAGTAGATTAATGCTCATTTTAAAGTGATTCCTGTGCCTTCTAGGAGACAGCTCCTGTCAGACATGGACTTTTCCACGTATCTGCACAATACATCTCCCTGCGCTGCTTCTACGTCTGGCAGATCATGTTCGGCGCCTTTCTCACATTAAGATGTCCTTCTACTGAACGGCACTGCCAGAGAGTATCTACATAGCACAAACGGCGATAAGCCCTGACTCCAGCTTGAAGTTACACTGACGCACGAATCACTCAGCTGATTCCCCGTATGCGTCTTGCGCTCTAGCCAGAGGGGGCCACAGGTGTGGGGATTATTTAAAAGTTTTCTTTAAAACACCTACAGATCACTGTGCTTATTACAACACAATCATCACAAAGCTTGCAAACACTGTTTTAGAGTTCCTGCCATAGCCTTGGATTAGCCACTTTGCATTTGGCCTTTCCAAGAAAATATCCTCAATGACAAAAACTGAGTGTTACCCTTTGCAGTATAATATATCAAACGCCCATTTATTAAAGCCCATTATAGTGGTTCTTTACTTCACATAGGAATATGTTATCTTGGCATGCACAAGACTTTGAAAAAATATATACTTCTTTAATTTGATTTGCAATTTTGTTGGTCATTTTAATTAAAGTGTCTGAAAATCATAGTATATGCTATTAGTCATGAACCCAATAATGACAGTAAAACACACAATAAACCTATGCATCACCTGAGGCTTTTCAGTGCTGAAGAGATAGCTGGCCATTAGCTGCAGGGCTTCAGGGTTGGCAGGCTCGTAGTACAGAGCTTTTTCAATGGCTTCTTTGCACTTCTCTGCTGCTCCTTCTTCCATGCTGGAAACAAACATCAAGCTTGAGTCATATTCATTCGTATTTACCATAATATTAATGAGAGTTAGATTGCAATATATTGCAAAGGATGACATGGGGATAAGATGCTGTCCTCTTATGCACAGTTTTAAAAGCAGGCATAGATAAACGTGTTGTAACTGTGTTTGTAGATGTATTGAAGCAGATAATCTAAAAATTTTATGGATTATTAAGAGGTTAAAAAAACATATATTTAACTTACTAAATGATCACATATTTCTTTCAGGTGCAAGATCCCTGCTGTGTATTGAGAGGCATTAGAAACTGGGATCAATCATTTACTTTCGTAATATTTCAGTACGTGATTATGTCTCAACAAGAAACTTACTATGACCCCTGCACGCAGAGTCTTCTCTTATCTTCACTATGCACTCCTATCATACAGTCAAAATCCCTCTCATTTTCAAATGTTTAATACCAAACCCAAATGCCAATGTCTAGTTTATCCTTTTCTTATGAATTCTGGTTTAATGAAATATTTTTCTTACACTTGTCTAAACATTCTGGATCCAATTAGGACTGATTCTATGCCCCTAGTCAGTCCTGGTTTGTACAGTGCTGTACAGTTTGTACATTGCTGTTCTGTCTTAAAGTCACACATATAAACAATTTTTACTAAATCATATCTGCAATATCTAACTCATGGTCAACTACTATTATATTTTTAACCCAGACAAAAATCTGTAAAGGGCTCTGTAGCAAAGAGTTGTGAAAGATGCTATATGATCAGTAAAATTATTCATTAATTGAAACACCACGACTGCCCTGAGAAGCACCATGATGTTCCCACACTATGGGTACTTATAATAGCGAATTTAACAAATAAGCATAAGCTGTTGCTGACATCTTCGATTTCAGCTAAAGCAGCAGTTAGACAGGCGCCGTAAGCAAAAGTGCCCAGGCTCAGATACAGACTTGCCATCGCGAGGCAGTCCAACCTAGGGGGGCAAATCAAGCCTGGCCAGATCAAACACGATCCACAGAGCTGCTGTACATTCTGCTGGCAAGCTTGTAAGAGGTGCATGCCCATGGTCCAGCGGAGAAAAATCCTCTCATTTGTTTTTTACCATAAAGTATGTTATGCCCTCTGTCTTTCCATCAACAAAGCTAGAAAGGCAGAACACCTTCATGCTTGTTGAATCCTGTAACTCATATGCATACAACAATATGCACAATTATGTCAAGATCTACATTAACATATATATTATTTTTATACATTTTATAAAAGTATATAGGCAGATTTGTTCTATTACTAAAAACACCTCTGCAGGAAGAAGCACTATTTATCTGGGGTAATGAAACAATACTGCGAGTTGAAACTAGAGCGGCGCAGGTATGCAGGTAGCTAATTTAAGTCACACAAGCAGCTCGCTGGGCCAGGGCTTATCCTGGTTTCCAGGTGTGAAGCAGGGAGCACCACTCCACACACGCATGAGACGCATGGAAACAGTGACACCTATTGGTTCTTTTTGACAAGAAACAACTGAAGAATTAGAATACTGATTTCTAAATTGGGAAAACAGCTAACTAAACGGTTATGTATTATGAGTCATGTAAACAACTATGAAAGAAAAACATATTAGGAGACTAAAAGGATATTTGTGCCAGGAATCTATGGAACACTGCAGGAGATGAGGACAAATCCCAGGTGAGATACTGCTGTTGCACCCTTGAGCAAAAATAATTTCCTCCAGTAAATTTCTTAATTCTATAAATTGGGTGCAAATGTAAACTACGTTGGTCATTTTGGTCACATCTGTCATCCAAATAAAGTAGTCATAAAATCATAATCATCTGAAACCTATTATCTTAATGGAAGAAACTTATCAGTAAATCATGTTTTTCTCTTAAAGTGTAATCTTCAACAAACATATTACAGAAAGACAAGAGTGCCTCCGAGACTTGAAGCAAAAGAAGTTCCTGTCCTGTTCTCAATACACTAATGTTGTAATCCCAACATTTTTGTAAATTTTTGTAACCTAATCTACAAGGCAGCAGAGAGGATTTTTCTCCCGGCTGAAAAAATAACATCCAACATAATGAATGCAGAAGAGTAGATACCAGAGGTCAGTGAAGAAAATTTCAGCGACAGAACAGAAAGCCACAGAAATATCCTTGCTTGTCAGTTCAGGGCCGTGGGTTGAAAATGCCGCTGCTGCTGATCCTGCCTGTAGTAACAAAACAGAATACAAATATAAAACAAGAGAGAAATAGTGCCCCTGGACTCCGAATTCCTGACAACTGAGTACAAAAACCGAGTAAAACAATTTCAAAAGAAAAAAAAAAGACAAAACAGAGACTTAGAATTGGCATCCTTGTTCTAGCATAAAAACAAAAAACAACAGTAAATCGGCGTCTTTACATGATTTCCAAAGTATTCAACCAAGAATTCTTCATTTAGGGACTATATACATTCCTTCACTACTGACAAACAGATTAATGATTAACCATAAAGCATAATTAAAATTACACTCCCTTAATATAGAAATAAGCCTTGTTAAGTCTTAGTAGAAAATTTATTTTTGTGTAAGTAGAAGAAAAATCTTGGTAGATATGTGTTGCAAAGAGGCACAGTCACTGTACAAAATAACCAAATCAGACATTTTTTTAGGTCATTGCGTAGATGCACCTTAAGAGAGCTGCATCAAAACATTTCCTGAGACACAGGAGCAAGACATCATGTGAAAACAGTGGCTTGTCTGCAAAAGCCCTGTCAAAATGTCAACATTCATTACGCATTACAAAATTGCCAATTATAATTCCCCAATTTTGTTTTTCCCATGTTTCATCATTAAACATTAGGCAAGACTCTCCCTTGAGATAGTCCAAATATACTATCTCTGTTCTCTCTTGCAGTTGAAGAAATGAAGATCAAGTCTGGAGCTGTGACTCTCCTGCTCTGACTGACTGTACTAATGCAGTGTGGCTCAGAAGCTGCACCACAAATTAAGGTCTACAACTAAAACACAACCAGAAATATCAAAAACAATAAATATGCAGAGAAAATACTTCATTTGCATTCCAATATTTTATACATTAGATTCGTTGAAAAGTCTTCTGTTTTTTCAACACTGCTCAAGTAGAAAAGAAAAACATTACTAGTATTAGAAGCATTATAATATTCTAACACAACAAACATATGCACTCTTGTAGTTAACCTACATCTTGATTCAGCTCTCAAAAGTCCAAAGAATTAGGCCACAAAAAGGTTTATACTACATGTGCACAAGCCACTTCTTGAAGGATTATAAGGAACAGTACTGAAATAAAAAACCCACTGCACAAACAGGTCAAAGACTATCTCACCTTAAAAAACTATTAGCGACCTCCCTTTCCACTTGTCTCACAAGGATCTCAAGTTATGCACATGGTTTAAATTCATGTTTGTAACTGTTCAAACATACCAATCTTTTGTTTTCCTGATTGGATCTTGTTACCCAACATTGCTGCTTTCAAAATATTAAATATTAAATCTTAACAACAAAAAAATAGTCAAATTCAACTGATACACAGAGATAACTGAATCATAAATGCAAGAACAGGCTAGATTATACTAATATACTGCATGTGTATTACTGCAGATATGTGTACACTCCTTTTTCTGATTCCCTGCTTTGTGACAATTCAGCTCAATTTTTAAACTGAGATCAAAATCTCTTCCTCAACTCAAGAGTCACATTTTTCTCTTTTCAGGAACAGTTTATTATAAATTTATTTAATGTGCCACTTAAACTTGAAGTGATACTGGACTTGCAGATATTGGAATTCCATGTACAAAAGCACCCGAGTATGATGATTTTGCATTACAGTACAATTCAAAAGAGTGTCAGAATAGTGGAGAGGGACTTACTAATTGTGTCTGTTTTTCAAACAGGTTGAGCATGATCTCAATGCCTTTGCTGAAGTACTGCACTGCTTCCATCCCAGAATGGATCTGTCCCAGGTACATGTACTTGCTGTGACCTTCTTCTGGACTGAGCTCCACGGCCTTCAGGAACACTTAGCAAGCAGTCAAGGAGATGTACTGCCATCCCAGTCCTACCTGGCTCAGTGTGTTTATCATCAAATACTGATAATAGCTGTAACCAATGCACCTATTCCCTTGTGAACTCAGTCTCCATTGATGCTTCCATTTTTCTCAACATAACTAGAAAGTTGGCTTCTGAGATGTGACTTAAAAGGAGAACACGACCACCATCTCTTTTCTACAATATTTTGCACAGGAACAGGTTTTAAAACACTGCAGTGCCCTAAGAGAATTCACCACTTCCATATGTTCCTTGAAGGCTGTCAGATCAAACATGTCACAATTTTTTACAATGTTACTGGAAGAGTGCAGTTTAGATCTGCAAGTCTTCACATGTTACAGACTCTTTATTTATTTACGCTGTGTCTATATTCTAGAAGACATTACTTGCAAATATATTATTTACATAAAGAAAGTACCCCGACAACACAGCTCTACTCACTGCCAAAATAAACAGCAGTGTACAAATTCTGCATCGCCACACCACTTCCAGTGAAAGTGATAGCTTTTTATGATACTGCCACCACATTTTCAAGCTGTTATATTCCATAGTTTAATAGTAATGATCTTATGAGCTTCCCCTACGTCAGGTTTACACCAAGCATCTTATCACATTAACTGTTTAATGACTCAGACTGTACAGTACATGTCATCTTGGAACTTGCATGTTATAAAGTTCTTCTCTTAAAAAAGGATATCTGTTTTGCCTTTTCCATATTTCCCAACTCTGCACAAATGTTGCCAAGCATATCCAGGATCTTAAGATTTGTGGGCTCCAGGTCTAAAGCACGCTGGCAAAACATCTGCGCCATTTCAAAATCGAAGTTATCCATGCATTCTTCAGTCTGAAATAAGAGAGGGAGAGTGACAGATGGTGACATAAATCTCTTTATATAAACACACACGACACAGACCTGAAAGGTGTTCTCTGCAAGATGCATTTACATCAGTTTCGCTGGTCAAAGTTAGCTAATACATGCTGATAAACTTTAGTGAGAGCAAAACAGCTCTATGTGGCTGCTAACTATAGCTTTATACAAGTAAATGGTCTCTACCCCCTAAGCATTGTGAAAGAAAGGAGCTACCTGCTATTCCTAAAATTCATACCAGATTTATTTAGATATAACACAACCAAATGTTATTTCATGGAGCAACTAAATACATAGACTATTAGTCTACTAGACTATAAACTTTACTGACAATTTTATGACATACATTTTTATATGATGTTGCAGAAAGTAAAAATTGGAGTTTATTGGCACAAATAGCAAACAGCACAATCGATTTGGAGAAGTATGGACAGATTTTACACACATGTACATCTCGAACACCAAGAAAGATGCAGTTTTGCATCATGAGTGTAGGGTATGAATTGTTATACTGGACCAGAGTAGGGTATGGATTGTTATATATTAATATTTCACTGAACATGAAATATTATTTGGCAAAGATTTTGATTCACAAGAATTATGTGTATTAAAATCAATTGCATCAATGTTCTCAAAGGTCTGTAAAAATAAACTAAAACAACCGGTTTTATTCAAACAGGATGTCTTCTGTAAAGACTGAATTCTACCATGAAAATGTGTCGATTTTTAATATATGATTTCCATACAGTACCTCAGCCTACGATTCAATGATAAATCACTACAAGGCACATCTAAACAAACACTTAAATGGGTCTATAGAAATGTAATATTGTAATGTAACATCATTAAATAGGATAAGAGGCATTACTTTCGTGATAAACTCTATAAAAAGTACAAAAAATATTTGCTAACATAAGTGTGATACGATTGAAATGATTTACGCTGCCTTCTTCCTGGGTTTGATTCAGCACTGGGCAGCCTTCTGTGTGGAGTTTGCATGCTCCCTGTATGTATGTGTTTTTTTTTTTAATATATATAGGAACACCAAAGACATGCTGGGTGAGTTGGCATTTAACAACTTTCCATGTAACAGACAGGCACCTTGTTCAGGAAGTATTTCCTTTTTGTACCCTGTGCTTTTGGACAGGCGGTGGGTTGCTGTGACCCTTCACAGGAACAAGCAGGGTTGTGTTAATGGATGCGTGGTGAGTGGTAAACACCACATATAGGCTCACACCAACACACAAACAGTAGCTTTCTCGGTTTGGGCAACTCCTGCAGAGACATCTGATGCATTTAAAATAATGGTTTTGTTTTTCAGTACTTTCAATTTTCGCTTCAGTCCTACCTTTTGCAGCAGCTGCTCCGAGGTGTATTTTTGAGCTGTTTTCTTCTTTGCTCTCTCCTGCATCTTTAATTTCATTCGCTCTTGCGCCGATAGCTCCGCCATCCCTGATTCTGGTTCCACATAAAAGTATTACAGTTACAGAGGATACAAATGAAAGCAAAAAGCAAAAGCGCTGGTCACAACACTTAATTTTTACTAGTTGTTTAATATGGTCTTACAAGTTAGCAATTCGTATTATTTCTATTTTGTCTAATAATGACAGCACATATGATGTGATTTAATGAGTTATGCGAATCTTCTCTAGAATAAGCTGTATTTTATTTTTTTTATTTTAACTCTACCCAACTTTGCAGTCTGATTTCCAGTATAGACTGTTCAATTATTACATGAGGTTTCCATTATAACACAACGTCGACGATAAAAAGATTATGACTGTAAAGTTGAAGCCCATCCACCCCACACGCACTAAGCACGCTGTACCAGTTCCCACATGTCAGATATAAACACGGCCCCATAACATGTGCATCACTAACCTCCGCTGCTGGCCCTCGGTTTCCTTTTCGGTTTACTCGTCTGTTTTCTTTTAGCTTGTCCCCCCATTGTCTTTTAGTCCGTGAAAATATCGAACAGCCCTAAACTGAATTCAAACCATAAGGAATCAACCGCACACTGGACACAAGTCGAAGCACACGAGTACGTCTTCAGCTGTTACGGAAGCCACATTGGGACAAACTCTCCCAAATCGCTTTCGTCTTAAATGGCCATCATCGGCATTGCAGCGTCGCATTGATGAGAGTTGGCAAACCGCCGGGCGGGTCTGCTGTTGTGCTCCCATAAGATCCCATATCCAGTTAGTATGACAGGACACCCTATAATATCATATCGGTTTTAAAACAAATGAGAAACGATCAGATGTTTAGATGGTCGCCTAGGGCCGAGGGTCTAGTCTATTATTGGTTACAAAGGGGTTTAAAATTACTTTAGTAAACCATTTATTTAATGTGTAATAGTTAAAATGCCCCAGGTCTTTAGTTTACCTATAAAATGCGGACCGGGGCACTCCATGACTACGGTGAGAGTGCTGTGATCTAAGAATACTGCAGTTTGTGGAAATGGTTGGATATGTACAGTAGGAGAAAAAAATTGATGTTTTTTTTTTTAATTTGACAAAGGATTTTGCCATTACAAATTCGTATTAGATTTTCGTTTTTCCTAAAGATGCAGAGTCAATAAAGCAGCATGTGAAAATCATTTAGTTACATTCAATAGCGATTAGTTGGAGCCAGATACTGGGGTGAGGGTGGAAAGCGGGTGTAACTACACGGGACCATCACACTCTTTGAGCACAACACATGTGTTAGGGAAATAAACCTATACCAGGCCTCCAAGTGACTCTATACCCTCCAGAGGTATTGAAAATCACGAGAGGTGGCGATTAAGCTTTAGCCCGCCTGTTTCTGTACTAAATGGTGTGGTAAGAGTACTGTATGGCGTACAGGGGGGCGAATATTTACTACACTGCAGTATAATCCTTAAATATTTAAAAGCATGAAAATTCATACTATAATGTATGGGGGAAAAACAGATGCGATAATTAATGAGAAACTGCAAAATGCACTCCCTGCGTCCCCTGTTCATTCATCGCACTTCTTAAATCATCCGCCCGCCGCCCAACTCCTGATTTCGACGACAATTCCGACCAACCAATGATCGCTCAGTAGGGTTATAAAAGGCGGGACCCAAGGGGTCGTGATGGTGACCATCGTGTGATTGACATTCACTGTCCTCCAATGGAGCCCCGTGTTGCCCTCGGACTCGTCTTTTGAAACCGCTATCCTTTCATTCTACAAGGAAAAGAGGCGGGACCTAGAGGGAATATTCTGGATGTGGACCAATCGCCGGGTCGCCCCGACGCCAGCCCCACAATTTGTACTAGTAGTAAATACAACCCGCAGGGAAGAGGAGGGGGGCGAGACTGGTAGTGAAACAAAAATATGAACTGTGGAGTACGGCGAAAGGACTTCTCCCTGTCAGTCCAGACTTGGTTGCTAACAGCTACGTTTATACGTGTAAAATAGCTTTTTTAAGCGCTTGTCGTAGCGTCGGTTTGAAACGCGAAGCGGGGAAGTTCGGGTAGTTAAAGGGGCCAAACCAAATAACGACCTACTAGTACTACGACTAGGGACGTTACTTGTCTCCCCCTCCTCCCCCTTGCCGGTCGTTCATTTGTTTCTATAACCGGGAATCTTTATGGCCCTCCGTCGCCGAAGACAGGGCGTTTAAGCTGACTTGCGGGATAGCTTTGCGGTCCGCAGGCCTGTAGTGTTTGTAAGAAGGTCCGTCCTGGGACTGGAGTTGGACGGAGTGTAAAATACCTGTTTTCCTCAGTCAGCAGTGCGCTTGTGAAACTGCATAGTCATGGGTGCATTGATCCTTTCATATAGGTGCATGTTTTCTTTATCAATTTAATGCAACCAAAGACGCCAGAAAACACTTGCCTGGCTCAGCGGAGGGTGTAAGATCGTCTTCTTCCTTCATGGCTTCAGTTCGATAACTTCTTGTTTTTTTTCTTACGTTGATGCTCCATTCAAAGATAATCTGCCGGTTACAGATTGTCTTGGCGATAGTATTTTGTCACCGACCACCACTGTGGCAGATGTCACCAAACTTACAGGGAACCTGATCGAGAAGCGTCTGCGAAGGGCACAAGACATCGACTCCTTAATGGTTGGGCGACTGCGCTTGAAAGCTGCGAGTTTGTGACAGAGCCCAGAAGCAGAGTTGAAGGAAGGCGAAATGTCCGATCTGAATAAAGAACTGGTTGATCTGGTCTGGGGAAGACCGTCTGGAAGCAGTATGCCAAACACTGTTTTCTGCAGATGGACTCAAGGTACTGTAGTACCAAACTGATCAGTTCCTTCTTTTTATTAGACAACCGATAGGTAAGAACATGTACTGGATGTAGAAGACTAAGCAAGTGAAATAAACGCTGAATTGGATATGGATACTTATAATTTGCTGATGAGGTTCGCTGGATGAGGTTTGTCACTGTGCAATTTAGCAGAATAATGAGGGAAAGTCACTCGCCAATCGTACAGTTGCTTTGGTTTGACAGGGGGTTAAATGTTCGAATACAACGTTTAAACGTGAAGTCTTTGTAGTAAAATAATTCTTGAACGTATCTCAGTGAATCTGATTGTGATTCTGTCAGTGAAAACTGAAACATTTGTGGAGAATCCAAAGAAACTACAGCCTAACAATGGTAAAATTATACATTACCCCTGCTTTCTGTCACTGGTTGCAGGATTCGTCTTCAGTGAGGCGGAGCACACTGCCCTGGAACAGTTCGAAGGAGGTCCCTGTGCAGTTATTGCCCCAGTGCAGGTGTGTTGTGTGACATGATGCATGTTTCGCTTGAAAGACAGTGACACAAAGCAAACAGCACCCAGACAGCATGGCTAAAGATCTGCTGAGCAAAAATGTGCACAGCGAGGATTAATTGAACTGTACCAATAGTAATATTACTTTACCTAGCTGTATCATGTTGACTACGTGGGAAAAGTGTAAAAAAGAAGGAAGGTAGTAGTTTACGCAGTACGTCCAAATTAAATATCACCTGCCATATTTTATTTATAAGCAAGAAAACAGACAGCAAACAGTTGTTTCGGTTCTGTATTGTCAAGAAAGATCAATACCACAGAAATATACCGGTTTGACACTGAAAATGAACACCATTAGGCTCATTTAAGATTTACAGACTGAGAATACAAGTGCAACAGAGAAATTACTAAGCATGAAAATCACCGATGGAAACAGCAAAAAGAAATTTGCGAACAGGGAGCTGGAAAAAACAATTAGGGCTGGCTTTACAGACTCCGATTAGATCTCTTCCCAATCTTATTTACGGGAAAGAAATACATAAAAATTCTCCTAAACGGATGTAGTCTGAGATTAGTGCTAATCTGGGCCTGTGAAACCAATTGTTAATGTCTTTGTTCATTATTTGTACTTCAAAGTTAATTCTCTATTAACTTCAGAAGTCTGTTGCAGATATATGAAGTACCGAAAAATGGGAAACACTTTATTTGTTGCCTCTGTTTTTGCAGGCTTTTCTGCTGAAGAATATCCTGTTTAACTCTGAGAGGTCCAACTGGAGAGAGTGCTCAGGTTGGTTGTATTCCTATTTCCTTTTACATAATAAAGTTTGAGTATATATCAGTTGATTCATGTCTTTTTAAAACCGCTTTAAGAATTTGATGTCATTTTAGAATAAAGTTCTTATCTTTCTTTTTATTTTTTAGAATCTTTTGCTCTCAGCTAATATATTCACCCGCAATTCACCCTATTGTGTTTATTAGAAGTAGACTGCAGTCTTTTGTTTTTTTCTTACTCCATTTTGAGATTCAGTCTCACTCACTTGTTTGCCAGATCACCCAAGAATCAACCAGTTTGAAATAGCTAATTGTCTTGGTTCACAGCTACAAACTCTACGCAATACAAGGATGAATAAGAAGTGTGTACTTACTCCTCCGTCATGCCCACCGTTGAACCATGTGTCTTTTAATGCACCCCGGGAACCACAGGTTCAGTTCCTGTTTAAAGGTGAACCTTACCATCAGTACGGCATACTTGCATGTGCCCATGAAGCAGCTAAGAGAGCCAAGGCCAGCTTTCCTTTGGCAGTGCTTAGGCAATGGTGCACTGCTGTCTGAGGAATTCAAGCCACAGTCATCAAGTGATATGACCCAGCCTCGCACTTGTGATCGTAGAGCTCATCTTGTACTCGGGCAGGTGCTTTTCCTGTCTGAGCCACCCTGAAGGCTCTGCAAGAGGACAGTCTTAATCCTCAGCTATGACAAGGGTTTGGGCAGTACTCTTAGGTTCCCAACATCAGCACTACAAAAGTGCCAGGCTTTGGTGGTGTTGACAGTCCTGAAGTGAGACCTTTCTTGGAGGTTAGAAAAGCTTATGCTTCTTTCCAGTTTGTACTTGTCATAGGAACATCACAATTGGCATCTTTGTTCTTCTGCTTATGGAACAGTTGCTCAGTTTGTGTGGTGCTATAATATTGACACATGCCCTTATTTCCTTATGTTTAGGCTACTGTAGCACCTTATTACTGGGGTATCTTCTAAGGTGCTAGATAATCTTCAGTATGTCCAGAGTTCAGTAGCCAGTGTACCATCTAAAAATATTCTGTATCATTATCATATCTTTAATAATTTGCATTTTCTCCCTATGAAATTAAGAATGGATTACTGCATGAGTAGAGCCCAGCTCCTAACATTAGATCTACTGGCTTTATGACTCTGCAGAAGATCAGGCTCTGCACTACAGGTGATAGATGCAGAACCCCCTTCAAGGCCTACTGTATTATTACTAAAGCTTTAATATTTATTTACTGTCTAACCGCAAGTCAATTTGTTATACGTTTTATTTTCTTTTATTGGTAATTGTGTGTACTGGTATTTGCACAGAATACAAACATCTGGATGTTCAGTCAGCTACTAATAAGAATATAGCTATAATGAAAATAAATTCCCCCCCAAAAGTAAATGTTGTATCTTGTGATTTATTTCCCTGAACAGAGGAAGACCAAAAAGCTGTTCTCTGCTACACCTTGAGTGAAATTCTAGAAACCGCTTGTTTCAATAAATCAAAGTCCTACTGTTTAGCGACGTGGTCAAAGGGGAAAGTGTCAGAAGACAATTCTAGCATTTCTGAAAGCAGCCCAGAATCCAGTCAGCAAAGTGAAGACGAGCAGCATTGTAAGATATTATTATGTAAATGTATTGTCTAATTTGTGTAAAGTGTGATTGTGCTTGATTTTGCTCTTACTTACTGCACTGAAGCCACATTATCTTAGACTTAATACACAGATGAGGTAAATGGGTCATTTACTGTTTATTTCTGTTTTGTTTTCTTCAGGTTTTAGTGTTGCCGGGCATATTCTGAATTTGTAACAGAAAAGCTGGTAGTGTTAAACACTTAATTTCCAAAATCAAAATAAGTTCTACTAAATCACATTCTATTCTGATCTGATTTTATTCTTTCACTAGAATTCCTTCAGTTTTTTAAGTGCTCAATCTAAAATTAATTCTAAATATTTCACAACTATAATATGGTAATAATATAATTATTATGGTAATTATCTTATAATACTTAATTTATAAGATTACTTTGTATGACTCAAAATTTAAGTACTGTTTATATTTTTAATGATCCTTTATGTTGTGTTTCTGGTGATAACTGGTCTGTCACAGGATAATATTTTTATATGGAAAATAAAATACCAAGTTATGAAAGTTACCAATTATAAAAATATTGTAAAATATTAGCAAAACAATGCTTTTTAGGACTATGCAATTTGTGATATAAATTTCCCTGATTGATTTTTACTGACTTTATTTTTTATTTTACATAGTTCCATGTGACAGAATTACAATGATTTTTCAGTGATTCTCTTTTAAGGTTCTCAAAAGCAGAGTTTTCTTTCTAACGCTGGTATAGTGTGTAATATGAGTTAATTTTCTACTGTATTAATCCTCAGCATGGGATAGCACATGCAGAGTTATCTGACTTATTGTATGATAAGTAGTCTGTGCTTTTGCTCTGTGTACTCTGTTTGTGGGTTTATTGCTGAAAAGTGTCTTGTAGGCTTAGCTGCACTGGCTACTGAAGAGCTTGGCTTTGAGCGGTTTCATACAATTATTCAGTAAGTTAACAAATATGATGTCGGTATTTTTACTTCTTGAAACATTAACATTTTAGTTTTCATTTTAATTTTGCATTGTGCTTATTTGCTTGCTTTTTTGGGAGAATACAGAAAAACATAAGCAATCTAGTCTTTTAGTTGATTCGTTTTATTTTATATGACTGACCTAAACAACTGTTTTTTGTTTGTGATGAAACAGCACATACTTTGTAATATACTTTGCTGGGTTTCAACAAACCTGCACCATGTTCAAAAGTGACTTATTGCATTGTTCTGTAATTTTGCAAGCACATACCTTCTCATTCATAATAATATAGTCATCAACTGGCATTTTCAATATATATTCCAAGAGACAGAAATATCTAAAGTAATTCTGGGAAAGATCAGGTGCACCAGACCAACACAGTTACCAATGAATTTCTATATATTGTTCTTTTAAATATGCCTTTTTGATGTTAGTGATACAAGTCTCTTTTTTTGGACTTGCTACAAAATATTTGTTTAAATGACATTTTGAAAATAACATTTTAATGGCAGTTTACTTCAGACAGATCTTTCTCCCTTGATTCAGGGAACAAAATAAAAGCACAGCTTTTTAAGCAAAATTTAAGATCAATGTATTGAAAGACAGACATGCTTTATAAAAATAATACTGTTAGTCTGACTTTAGTTGTGTTTCTTTTTTGTAGTGAAAGAAATAACAGTACATTTTCTACAGGTGTCATGTGCTTTGATTTTCATAGTGTACTTTATTTTAGGAAAAGGATACTGAAAACATCTGGGGAAATGAAGGAAGCAGTGCTGGATCTGTATGACACATGGAGGAACAAGTTTGGAGTGCTACTATTTCTTTATTCTGTCATATTGACAAAGGTATGTGCATGTGCAATGTCTGGCAAATGTCTCACATTTTCTGCAATTGGCAAAGCTCCTTTAAAGTTCAGTTCTTTAATTTATCTGTTGTGGTTGGGTGTAAATATTTTTTTCTGTTGAGCAGTCCACTGCCAATGACAAGTTCCACCATATCATTTCATAATAGTTTCATCATAATTTTTTGATCCCTTGTTAAAAGTTACTATGTAGTCCAGAAACTATCTCTATACTTTTTTGGTTTGGTTCATGTAAATGTAATGGTAGAAGTTCTTAACTTGAAATGAAATGCAGCCAATATAAAATTTTAACTTTTGCCTTCTTCTGCTGTAGATATTTTAAGCCAGTTTCATTGCTTTTATTCTGAAATGATACCAACTTAAAATATTTACAAAGTTTCCTCTCTTTTAAGGGTATTGAAAACATAAAGAATGAGATTGAAGATGCTACAGAACCTCTGATAGACCCTGTCTATGGTCATGGAAGGTAGGATTTTTCTCAATTTGAAAATTGATAGGAACAGAAATTAAACTTTAGTTCAGGGTTAGTGTTCTGAGGTTTGCATGTGCTTACTGATTCCCCTCTAAACAGAAAATATGTGGGCATTATTTTATGTGTAGTTGGATCTCCTTCATTCATGTCCCAGAGTCACACTAAAGTGCTGCTTTATAGAGTAATGGCAGCTTTCATTTCAATTCTGACACAACTGCCATCACAAATACAGTGTCACATGTCTTTTTACATTTAATTGGGTTACTCAACATTTCAAAGGCCTCATACCTGAATTTATCTTCCTTTTCTCTTCAGTCAGAGTTTAATCAACCTCCTGCTGACAGGCCATGCAGTGTCCAATGTTTGGGATGGAGACCGGGAATGCTCTGGAATGAGTAAGCTTTGAAACTAACAGCATACACAAAAGAAGAGGTTTAAGCACATTAAACTTACAATCCTTGTTTTTCAATTTTTAAAATTGAATTTTCTCATTTTAAGTCTTATTGATCAATATTATTAAGCATTTAATATTTAAAATTTAAAAAAATCTGTCCGTTTATTCATTTTTCATTTTTGTAGATGGGAACATACCAAAGGTTCAATACAAAATGCATCTTGTCTTAATCTATTTGCTTTTTAGCGGTCGCTGTTTCTGTTATGTTCTTCAATACTAATAACTTACATATAATATGTCGAGCACAATTCTAGGTGCTCTAAAACAGCCTTGTGCTTTGATTATTTTTTGTCCAAAAAATAGTTTGTTTCAATTTTTTTATTCCTGTAGGAGATCTGAGAGTCTGAGATGTATGCATTGTATAATTGGAACAGTTTATTCAGTGACGCAAAACCTTGTTCAGCAGTGAAGGTTTAGCTTTCTAGATAGTTCTGTGAACTTTTAGTGAAGGCTTTTGAACAGCAGATGGCAGTGTTACTTAATGGTTGCGTGCTTTACCTGGCTCCCAACAGAAACCTCAGTTAAAGCAGTGACATGCAAGCAATAGTGGAAAATGGGATGTTCATAATTTTTGTATGGTCACTATTTACCAAAAATATATTTTAATCTGATTCTTTCTATAAAAGCAGTGCATTTCTTTAAAAGGGTATTATTGCTAATATAGGAACAAGTAATAGGTTTATTTCATGCTGAAAAGAGAAGAAAGAAAACACAAGGTTTTGGCTGTGGAGCTTTCTTATTGCTAATATATATGGACAATTTAAAAGACGTTAAAATGGCAGCACATATAGACATCACAAAGAAGTGACTTAGAAAAGGCTGAAAAGTGGATTTAATGATTTAAAAATCCTCTTCTAAAAACGTAAATACTGTCAAATAGATTGTTCCATGCATTACAGTGACTCCATTGTATTACGTGTTAAAACATCTGCTAGTTTAACAATTAATGTGTTTAAAATAAATAAATTCTAGATTATGCCATAACATAGATTAATGTTTAATTGTATGCTGGGGATAATGTCTTTGATTTATCTGGATTTTACACAGATTTCACTCTTTTTAGAAACACTTGTCACTTTTGTTGAGATTGTAATATGTGTGGAGTGTCAAGGGATGCGAACTTTTAGTAAAGTTATTTCTCTCAGAATGCCACATCGTAGGAATATTAAAATGAATAAGTCATGGCAGCAGCTGTTACATTTGTAGAAGGAACATCTTCCTTTTAAAGTTGACATTTTAGCAGAGTGAACATCTGTCTTGAGAGGTCTAGTTATCTTGAACATGAGCCTGAGTTTGGCGTTGTTTGTTTTTATGAGAGAACCTAGGAGCCATCAGAAATTGATTTGTTTGGACAAACATTTAATTCCAGGTTCCTACAACATGTAATGTAATGATTTTCTGGTGTTCAGTTGTTGTCTTTTTCTTTCCCAGAGCTGCATGGTATACACAGCCAAGCAACTATAGGCTTTCTTACATTAATGGAGTCTTTACAATATTGTAAGGTGGGTCTTATATTTTTATCAATTTCACACAATAAATATGTTTTCAGGTTCAAGATTTTCATCTTACAATCAAGGATGTGGGAATAAAAAAAGCACTTAATTAATTTAAAATAAACTATTTTAAAGGGAGGCAGCCACGCAGTTTGTTACTGGGAAAAAAAATAGAAAGCTCTTTAAATATTTAGATGATGAATTTATGAAGTGAGTGACATTGATTTCTCCTGAGGAAAAACTTCAGAAATCTAAATTCTATTTTTCCAAGGCATTATTTTTTATTTTGTTGGATTCTTAGATTTCTTGGTCAGAATACTTTTAAGAAATTGCCTTTATTTAGACAAGTTTTGGAATTTTAAATTCCGACAGCTGTCATTTGTGATTGACCAAAATCTGGTATTGTAAATGCTGTTCTTCTTAATTTTTTATTCCAAGATGCAATAAGTGCTAAGTTGAGGTTCTTTCAGAGACAAAGACATCCAAATATGCAATATCCAAACATTTCTATTTCATCTACTATATTTTCATAAGCATCACTAAGTTTGTGAAAAGTGAAACAGGTCTTCCTTGTCATCTTACTTCTTCTTCTTAATATTATTATAAATAATTAAATATAACTGAAAATACCTTAACTGATAATAAATTCCAAGTGTTCCTAAAAGATAATCGATAATACTGGCTAGGGGTCTCCATAACCAGGGCTGAAGACCCCTGTTCCAAAATAAGGCATATGGATACATTCCAAAAGATGATTTCTCTGAAGATTTATTTTTTTGTATTGATTTGTGGAATGGTGTCATTTTAGATTTTTTTTCTTTCTTCAGCAGTCCTAGCAGGTAGGAAAGTCACATGAAATAATAGCCTGTTTTAGTGTTTAATTTGATTGTAACCCGTTTTTAATACATGTCCAGTTAAAAGAAACTTAGAATAGAAATGAGGCTAAGAACCAAAGCCTTTATATTTGTACTTGTCTTTATCAAATCTTTATAAGAAAATATTAATCAGAATAATTTTATTCTGCTGGGCCTCTTTACAAAATGAAAAACCCTTAGCTGTAATAATTGACTGCCAAGACAAAACGTTTATTTCTTAAATTCATTCTTGTAGAATAAAAGTTGAATGTCCTCTTTTATTTGTATTCTTTTCTTTGTGTAGAAATATTTTTGGTAGTTTATAGTGACGATCTGAATTATAGACTTTGACTCCTGGAGGAATTAGTTGTGTCGGAGGTTTTAATCATAGGTCTATGTGATAAGGTTTAATTGTCTGTACAGTAATCACAATTGCATGATAATTACACTGATATTTGTTTTTATTTCCTCTGTGGAGCAAGAATTTTCTTGAATAATTTTAATATAGCTTTAATATTTTTCCAGTGCCATTTTTTGTAGAAGAAATAATTAGACATTTGAAGGCCATATTACCATTTTGTATATGGGTGATCTTCATTAAAATAAAATCTAATATTAATGCTTAGTACTCATAGATGTGTATTATGCTGTAATTTAGAGATGTCAGAAATAATAGAGACCCTTACAGAAGAGCCCCTTTAAATTTAAGATTTTACTCGGATCTAATCGTACTCGTAGAAGAAGTTGTATTGCAAAAGGTAAGGTTAATGTTGTAAATCTATTCTGTTTAAACAGAATAAGAATTTGTAGTTCCATCCATCGATTTTCAAACCACTTCATCCAAGTTAGGGTCGCAGGAAAGCCAGGCCCTATTTGTTCAAGCAGTGGGCGCAAGGCACCATTCATCCTGCACAGCATACCAGTCCATCATAGGGCATACACAGACTCAAACATGAGTTCTCAGACAGCAGTGAACCTGCCAGTACGTCTTTGGGGTATGGGAGGAAACTTGAGCACCTGTAGAGAACCCACATGAACATGGGGAGAATATACAAACACCACCCAGTTAGCACCTAAGGTCCGGAATTGAACCCAGGGCCCTAGTGCTACAAGGCAGCAGTGCTGACTTCTCTGCCACCATACTGACTGAATTCGTAATTACAATTTCGACTGCAAATGCAGGTACATTAGCACTACTATTTATTGTTTCTTAATGCATCAGATAAATGTCATATTTAGTCCTTTGAATCCAATCTTTAAAATAAATCTGATAAATGGTTTCATTAATTGGGATTGCTTTCTTATTGCGCAGCAGTGATCCAATGTCATAATTTCTTGGGTACATCAGAAAAATGTTGTTTTTGCCAACAAAGGCATTTGAAAGTTGATACTTAAATAGCTATTTTTTATTTTCTTTGCAGTACTACACTGACTTAATATATTATTAGTGCAATAGAATGGAAACGGTTTTAAAAAATCTATACAACTTTTTGGATAAGGGCCCGTTTTTAAGGGATGTATTCTCAATCCTTGAAGTGTTGCGGCAGTGCAAAATCTTGTCTGCGTATAAGTATTTCATAGTATAAAGAACTGTATGTATGTCTGTTCTATTTTATATTGAATTGCAACCAGAACTTAATGATTGAATGATATATGGCCCTTGCTTAATTTTTTTTTCTCTGCTGTGTATTAATTTTGGCTTTTTTCTATATATTTTCCAGGTTGGGGCTTTTCTCAAGTCTCCAAAGTTCCCTATTTGGATACTTGGCAGTGAAACGCACCTCACTGTGTTCTTTGCCAAGGTAGGTTTGCTTTCAGATTGCCTTTGTAATGTATACCACTCACTCAGATAATGGGTCATGTTTTATTCTCATACTCACAAGAATGTGTTTTTTAATAGTCTTATTATTTTGCTTCTTACTGAGATTTTCTTTTTTTAAAATGATCCTACCCTTTTAAGGAATCATTATGTTCCCTGGCTATAACAAGAAGATGTTTTACATACTACAGCATGAGATATTCACTGTTAAGTTTTATTATAGAGGGATTTAGAACTGGTTTATCAAAAAATTGATTGTATTTGTGTCCTGTTTAATTTGAGAAAAATAACTATTTTATTTACAGTCAGATATGCGTGTATATTTATGTATTATTTTTTTAATCAAATGTGACCCATCTATTGCACACAGTTTGGATTCTCATTTTTATCTTCAAACATTAGCATCAATCAGCATGCATTTAAAATATATTTCCTGTGTGTTGGTAGAGTAAGCTTAAAGTTGTTTATCATATTTGCTGTTCTACATAGTTAAGCATGTCAAGTTTATTTGAGCTGCCAGGATGTGTTGCTTGCAAATCCTGGACTTGTCCAGCCTTGTTAACAGATTGTATATGAAGGGAAAATTTCAAGAGCTACTAGAGTTTTTATTTATATTTTGCTTTTCTTTCCTTATATGTTCAAATTGCAGGGTTTTGACTTGTGTAATTTTAGCATTCCATTCCTCTATCTGGAAAGCCCCCAAGTCAGTCAGAGAATTAATGTCTAAGCTGTGGTAATCAGAAATCCAACCAGTGAAAAATTATTTGATTCTGTAGCAGTTTATGCTGAACTGTATTCAGTACATTAAGATCATTTGCTCACTAAAGTAGGTATTCTATGAGACCACTGTTTGACAAAAGGGTAAGGCTGATTTGTCATGTAGGTTATGACCTGTACTATTGATCTGTTTTCAAAATGAGAAGAAGATAAAACCTAGACAAAGAAAATGACAAAGGCTGTGTTTTCCTTCATGTATGTGCTAGTCACTTTACTTTTGGTAAACTTTTATTGACTACAAAGCAGTTGTCCAATAGACTTTATGTTGTATTTTTTAATTGTCAATATCAAAATTGTGTTCAGTGGCACATATCCCATTGCTGAAAAGCTCTGTTTTTCTACATCATGCTTCTGTTGAGTTAACTTTACATTATAGGTCATCGTGTGCCCTTGTGGAGCAATGTCATCAAACTGTTTACTTTGAAAATAAGAAGAAATTGTTCAGGTCTTCACAGCGCCTTGTAATTCCAGACATATCATAGATGCCTTTTCCAATAAGACTGACTCCTCAGCTTAATAACCTCAACACATTCTTCATAGCTTTAAAATATGATACTGATTAAGGTTAATACATGTGGTTTTTTGATGCAGGCCATGAAAATTTCGTTGTACATGCCCTCAGGTGAACAACAAAATTATTTCCTTTTGGAAAAATGATCTAGTTGCAGTCCATCTGTTTCAGTTTTCCTACAGAAGATTGTTTTAGCTGTTAATGCGAGTGCACAAAGTAAAACTGATTGGTTGCATTCTTTAAACTTAAGTCTGTGCTGTGATTAGCAGTCTTATTTTCAATAAGAAAAATGTCTTCAGTGTATTTTGTTCCTTCAGACTTAAGTTTTGATTTTTTTTTAACTCAGTTCAACTGGTGTGACTGGTCCAGGTGCAGGCTGTGCTCTATAGTCTTGACATCACAGGTTAGAGTTGGGCCATGTTACTAGAAGTCTGTAACAAGGGTGGGGATAGTTGGCCACAGCTCTCTCCTACTGACACTGCACCTTCCCAGGTGCTTGAATACTCTTGAAATTCCTGGGGTGCAGTCTCTAAGTGGCAGTCTCAACTTACAATTAAGGAGATGTAACAGTTTTAATTATGTAAATTGTATTTCTGTAATGTGCAAAATATGGCTGTGCATTATGAATACTGTATACACACTGGAAAACATAGTAACATATAACAGAGAAATCTACTGTAGTTTAAACAATGTTTAGAAAATCCTCCTTTATATGATATTTACAACACATTCTAGGGTGCATTCTTTTTTTTAACAATATAGATTAAATACTGTAAATGTGTGTTTTTCTTTATTTAAAACAAATCTATTTAGATTTTTGCTTGAACTTCTACCCTGATTTGCTCTGTTCTGTGATACCTTTTCATTGCATTCATGTAATTGACATGCGTTCATTTCAGTGCTTAAAGTAATAATAGAAGGAAATGGGGCTATTGAATAATTATAATGGACATTATTGAATTAACATTTTAAATTTCCAAGAGGAAATACTAATTCTGCATTGAATTATATTCACAAACAGCTGTTTTTAAAGGTAAAAATGTCTTCACACTCTTTATTTCTTCAGATTTCATTACTTTCCATTAATGCAAAGCAATTTTTATAATATCTTTACTCTTACAGTACACGTTCATAAATATGATTCATCTTATGCTTCCTTGTAAACCTGATTTCATTATTTAATGTTGTGTGTTTTTCTGATGTATAGTATGTATATTACAGTGCTTTCCACACATCCCAAACTGAGGTGGGAAGGGATAATTCTGCAGTACATATTTCCTTTTAAGAAAAAAGTAGAAACCAAATTCCTGACCAATAGGATGTTATCTGCACACTGAAGGAGATGAGGCCCGTATTTAACATCAGATTTCTTCCTTCATGTTTAGGACCACCTTCTACAGTGGTAGGGTCATCAAAGTACCTTTTTCATGTGGAAGGAAATGATTAGATTTACATTCCCTGTGCCTTCCGTGTTCATGGCTAGAGGATTTTTCTTCTGTTCCGTAAGGCAACCCTTGACCTAGTTTCATTTTCACATAGGAATCTCGGAAATGGGACTATGTTTGAGAGCCCAGTAATCTAAAGTGCAAAGCTGCTGTCATAAATGGCAATGTTTTGGGCTTTGGGTATCAGTACTCAGCAAGAAAAGCCAGGACCAAGCACCTCTTTTGTCTATATAATTCCATCTTTGCTTCTCTCACCATGGAGGTCACATAAAAGCTGAAAACATGCTGTGAATCCCTTTGTAACTTTGTGATGGTTTGAGTCCCCCAAACCACATTAATTTACGCATCTTGAAACACTACACAATATAATACTTTGGATATACTAGATGTGTGTGCCTTTGCTAAAGATTTGATCACCATGCTAAATGAATTGACACATAAGTTCACAACATGGCTTATTCTTCCTATTTCACATAGTTGTTGTGCTTCTTCAGAGCAAGTCTTTAAAACAAGCATTCCACCATCGTCTACATGTGAACAAATAATTTTTGCATTTCAGCATCTAACATTGAATGCAAGAACCATACTTCTGTGTTAATGGTGAACCAAGAACCATGCTTGGAAAGATTTGAAAGTAAATGTCATTCAGTGGTGTACAGATAATTCTGGGGAAACAGCTGCACTGGGGTGAAACAGAAGTGTAATGTGATATCAATTAACAGATTATTATCAAGCCCGACCTTTAAAATTTTTGCAGGGTAGAACTGGAGGGGTGTAATATTTTTATTACAGATCTGGTCAAGTGTCAGTTTAGTTAGGTGAATCTAGCCATTAATGTGGGATTTCCTTTGTCCGTTTAAAAAAAAAAGACTGTGTATCCTGTGGCTTTACTTCAGTAGTGCGATCATACAAATCTGGGAGTGTTTTCAGATCCATTCTGAAAAGTATTGTGATGTCCGACAAATCATTAATCATCCAGCACAGTGCTGTCTAGCAGTCTGATGCCCTGATTTTTCTCTACACCTTTCCTTTGTTATATGGTAATCCTACTACAAGGCACTTTGCCCTCAGTTGATGTATCATATGAATGTTCACCACACATCACTCTTAACAGAAGACAATGTGTCTTTAGTTCTCTGTCTGTATATTGTTGCATGTCACTATAGAGCTACTTTGATAACAAAGGACAGTCATAAGAGAGCACAGTAAAAGTATGTTGGTATTGAAGTACTTGTGTCCAGCCAATGAACTGTGGATGCGTATAATGTTTCTAATTGGTACTTAAGAACACATATAAAGTTACAGCGTAAAGAAAGTTTCGCCTGATAGCTCTTATAAAACATAATGATAAACCACTGTCGAGTCAATCACGTGGAAGAAGGATTTCTATGTACCATAGACAATGAAGATACAGGGTTTCAGGAAATAGTCATCTGGTTTTGAGATGTGATATATAAATTCCACAGATAAATATCTTAAAATTGTTCAGATTTGCTCAGGCACATTGAGGCTGCCATGTGTTGGATGTGGTAGGAATTAAAGCCGTAGTGTTCTCTTTAGGATCTAATCTAGACCATATTAAAGTGTAATTAAATACCCGTTTATCACAAAAGCTTAAAAATCAGGATTATACATGCACTATCTTCTTACAATTTTGAAAGAGGTTGCAATGGTAACTAATACTATGAACTGGGAAGGCATAATTAGTTCTTATTCTTGCAGTTAGTCTACTGATAAAGTATCCTCGGTTTTTACCTTGATTTATTTTTACTTTGTCTTATAGAATTGCTCTGAAATTAATTTGTCACATATTATAGTCATTCTGGATGTTTTTTAAAGTAGTTTTCTTTTCATCAAAGACTGCAATATACAGTAAGTTACCAAGGGTTTGCGTTGTATGTTGTTGTCTTACAGTGCATGACATTCAAGGTTGGACTTTCTTGGCATTATTATAACTTCAAGAAGCTTACACTTTTCTTTATTTAAAACTGCAGCCAGTTTACTAAGTGTAGTTGAAATTTGAAGTGAGATAGAACATCTTGTTTGTGTTGGATGTAACCCATCAGCAATCAAAAATAATCTTTGTTGTTAGTACATTTCATCTGATAAAATAAAGGGTGATTTAACTTAGAGCTGTTTTTGCAAGAGTGGTTAACGTACTATAAATACATTTTAAGGCAGTAAGATTATTGCTAATTATTTTTAGGTATTTGTATATAAACAATTCCCTTGATGACAGCCCTACCTCAG